ATAATCCGTCTTAAACCACGGACGCCAGGCCTGAACGGCATACTCCAAGTAAGACCAAATAAACGCTCCGTACGTTTTTCTAAAGAGTTCCTTGCAGATGTGGACGAATTCTCATCTAATCGCAAACAGCACCTGTGTCGCGCGTTTACCCGCCTTTAGACACCGTGAAGATAGTTTAAGCGCAGAGTGTACTAGAACGCCGAGGTCTTTCTGTTCGTCAACATTTGAAAGGAGTAACCCATCGAGGTGGTATTGGAAGGAATCATCCTTCTCATTAGTCCTTCTAGTACGGAGCCTTAAAACCATACAATAACGTTGAAATTTAGGAGCCAACGAGAAGACCAGCTGCTGGAACACGTTCGTGTGGTCTACCACCTGGGGGACGGTATGACTGGTATGTCAAGTGAAAAATTGTCCTTTCAGTTTCTTTTCTCATTGACTGCAATGTTCAATACTATTAATATTGCTTTTTCTAGTATTAACCCTACTACTACTACTACTACTACTATTATTATTACGACTACCATACTGCTGCTAATATCCACCAATTGGTCCACAAGAGTTCTGAGTCCCTTCTGCATGTGGCATGGACTGCTTTTATAGTACAACTGTCTCTTCTGTTCGTTGTACGTTCTTTATGTCTGGCAGTCTGTCAGACTGCTGTAAGTGGACTTTGTATAGGAGGAGCCATATTGATTAATCGAAGAGTTATTTGACCGAGAAGTGAAGACTAAATCGGCGACCGCAGAGGCGTTTGAACTCACAAGAGCGAATATCCCCACATACGCAGGGGTTAATTAAGTTAAACCATAGTAACTGCGATCTTCAGACCATGGTTACTTAGTAGAGGAGACGTCGGTAGAGGCCAGCGTAGTAGGAAGAGAATATTGTGTGCAGAAAGGAACGAAGAATAATAGGGAAGAAGATTGACTACGCAGAGCACGATATTACGCTGGGGCGGCGTGATCCGAAGTGTGGCATAGTATCAGGAATCCCCAGCGGCCCAGAGTGAGAGCGTTCGCGCGTGCAGGCTTGCTATTCGTCGCCGGACCAGAAGGCATC